GGTGTTTAGTGCCAAGAAGGGGAAAGATAATTTCACATTCATTGGAAGGTTCTCCATTCCAGGCTCCACTGTAAAGGTATTTTTAATAAGTAGTTTTGATTCTCATGGTAACTAATGGTATGAAGAGGTATTCTGTCTTGATTCCAGCAGATCATATGAGCCAATTCTTAACTCAGCCATGGCTTCATGAACAGCTACCCATGTTAGTAATATTCACTACCAATCCCCTAAGTAAATATGGTTATCATGTCAGGGGAGGTATGTTCTAGGCTACACATGAGAATAGTATCTGTAAATCAACAAAATTATCTGTCCAAGTGATGAGAGATGGTTATTTTCTGATCCTTCTAATTGTTTTACCCACTATGACCACAAAGGTTTATTGGAAATGATCAGATTTCAAGCCAAAATATAAAAACTCTCTGGTTTTCAGCAAATTGTTATGTTTCCAATATATATTGTGTTCTTTAGAATCTATTTCCCTATATTTTGACATTGATTCAAATTAGACAGGAATGACTTTCCAAACATGTCATTTACTTTCAAATTTGTTTATCATGAAACTGAGTTGGTACTATTTTTAGCATATCTTTACATGTATGAGAACATGTGCTTGACATGTGTGAGGACAACCACTGGCTGTTTGAGTCTCTCTTTGAAGCTTTGATTCACAGGTATCTTAAAGCTAGATGAAAGCTATGGTGTTTCTGTGCATATTCCTTGAAAGATATAACATATGTCTTGGGAAGAGTAATATACACCTGAAGAACTCCATATTTTGAATATTTAAGGTGTATGAGCATGGCACAGTAAAGAAACCACTGAAAATGCTGCTCCATAATTACAGAGAAGAATTTTATTGTGGATAAGAGAGAATGTTCAGAGGCGTCTGGAAGAGTTCAGAGTAGAAATAAAAAGAAACAGACTTGATGTGACCAAAACAGTCTGTGAGAGAAGGGAGAATAGCAAAAGAGAGTAGTGGAGATGGCTGGGGCAGGGGGAATACCTCGACTTCCTGAAGAGAGCAAGGGGGGTTCTAGAACATTTTGGGAGTCTGCATAGTGCAGAAGGAGGTGGGTTGGTTGTGAAGGGACAGGAAAGTAGATGGGGCTGTGAGATATACAGTAAGTACTTTTGACTCAGGGAACCTGGAAGGCAGCACGGGTGTTGACAGCAGCCACAGGTCACTGGAGAGCCATATGTCCCTTTTGACAGAGGCAATGGAAATGACTCCCTCTGCTGTTCAAGATCCATTTCACAAATTCTGGATGAAAGCTAATTTTTGTTTTTGTTTGTTTTGTTTTGTTTTGTTGTTTTCTAACCACCAGAGATCCTTCTACAGTCTACCTTGTGCTGACAAAGACTGACATGTCTGGATATATGTGCTCCCGAGACCTGACTTGTTTAAATCATTAGGAAAAACCTTTTTTTTCTTTCACATCTATTTATGACAGCCTACAAAGGAATGGGTTAATTATGGCATTTCAATACATAGATTACTTTCTTATTTGTTTTCTTTACCACACTCCAACATATCAGTCATTTTAAAACATAATTACACAGCAGAAAATCTTTATAAAGAACTTTACAATTTGGTAGAGTTTTGCTATCTTAATTAGTACTATATAATTACACATATCAGTGAAAACACACAGTTTGCAGAAGGTAAAATCTTTTACTGTCACCAAAATTCAATCATTTTAAAGACATGGGCATTCTAGTCTTACATGATCTTTCTATGATTATTATGTGTCCAAGGTATACTTCATAATGAACTATGAGATTTACACAGCATCTTCCAGGTTGTTTCAGTCACAATCCTTTGTGCCTCTAGGCGTTACTTCTTCTAAGCATGCACCTCTCCTCCGTAGTCTCCAAAGCTACCTGACTTACCTGTGCATGCAGCTTTCTGACTGTCTCGCTAAGGCACATTCGTCTATAAAGTCTCCTGTGATTCTTGCATCTGTTAAACTCTAAGGTTCACAGTGTTAATGATGTCTGCATGCTGCTTTTATCACATGGACCTTTGATAGGTTAAAAGAATTAGGATTGAGAGTCTTTGGGGATAAATCTGCATTGCACAAAGTTTTGCACAAGAATTCCTCCTATTATTGTACACATATTATTGCAGTTAGGGTTGGCAATGACAACCAAGTTGCTGCTCCAATGGCCATTTTTCAGGAGTCGCCTACTTTGGCCCTCATTTAATGTTAGCCATTGATCTCTCCTTTCTTGTGAATCCCTCTAGTGTGTGAATATTTCTCTCCAACAGGATGCCTTGTAATGTGTTACTACTTCATTTATAAATCATGAATTATGTTGGTAAATCCAAATTATTTTTTAAAAATTGATATTTTTATTGTTCAATTTTTAAAATGATTTAAAATGAGATGGAATTACATCACTCAGCCATTTTCTCACTCTAGACTAGTGGTTCTCAACCTGTGGGTAACGATCCCTTTGGGGTTCCTTTATCAGATATTCTGCATATCAGATATTGACATTAGGATTCATAACAGTAGCAAAATTACAGTGACAAAGAAGTAATGAAATAATTTTATAGTTGGGTGTCCCCATAACATGAAGAACTGTACTGAAGGAATGCATCATTAGAAAGGTGGAGAACCACTTCTCTAGACCCTACCAGCTACCCTTGTTCAGACTGTTCCCATGTCCCTAAGTTGATACCTTCTGGAAGAGAGCCCACTCCTGCAGTCTGTTCCCAATGCTTCCTTTCCTAAGCAACCTCTTCTTTTCTGTTGATAACTCAACAGAGTCCTGTTAGAGAACTGAGCCTGTGTTTTTATATCATTCACCCTTTGAAATTAGGTATCAATTAACAACCACTGAATACCTGTTCTGCTAGTTGGAGACCTGAACCAGGAGAAGTCTTTTTTTCCTACATGGAAACCCTTGAGGAGAAAGCCATGGGAGGGATACATCGAACCTTGCTGTTCCAAGGCCCCATGGAACTCAGAAGAGGCTGGAGAAGGAAGAAACAACATCTCTCCTTGTTCAGTGATGTTTTGATTATATCTAATAACCTGTGAGTATGTGCACTGTGCCTTCCTTACTATGAGAGGCTACACTTTGATTAGGCCTTGCTGTTCAAAACCACAAAAGATTTTTTATTTCTTTTATTTTTTGAGATTATAAATACTTCATTATCATCTCCCCTTTCCCTTTCCACTTGACAAGTCCTCCCATATTCCCTTTCTTGCTCTCTTTGAAAATCATGGCTTCTTTTTTTATTAATTGTTGTTCCATATATATGTATATTAAAATATATGTATGTATTTTTAACTATACATATATTAGACACTTGTATATATGTTTTCAGGGCTGTCTATATGTTATCGGGTGACCAATTGTTTTGCTCTTTGATCCTGGGGAAAGAATAGCAACAAACTTGGAAAGGAGGCAGGTGTGGTAGCACTTGCCAGCAATTCCAGCACTTTGGAAGCTGATTTATGAGTATCGCAAATTTGTGGATCTTGTGGAGACATCTTCTCAAAGTAAAATACTAAAAACATGATAATCAGGGGCCCTCTTGCTTGGTGTTTACAGATAGATTGTAGAAGCAAGAGGGGAAATCCCTGATTATGATGGTTGCTCATAAGGGGCCACACATGTGAACCTCTGTGAGCTCATAACTTCCAAAGTAGTGTGAAGAGATGAGAAGCAGCTACTATCCCTAAACCAATCAGGGGAAACTTAGACATCAGCTAGATCCAGCATGGTGATTGTGTGGATGATATAGGAAACTGCTGTGATTGAAGCTTTATACATGGTGGTATTGTCACATAGAACCGTGGAGGTATTTTCTGTGATCACCTCTCCAGAGGATCGTAGCCTTCATATTACTCTGAAAGGTACGAAATAGGTACTGGCCTTATCAAGTAAATATTTTAAGGGTGTGTTCTCATAAATACATAAGTAGACTGGAGAACAGGCATCAATACAACAGTTCATTCAATTTTGGGGGTAAACGTTCTAGTCATCAGTGATTAATATTGCTGAAGATCTACTTCACAAATGGTGAGAAGAAGGAAGGGTGCAGGAGAGAGTTCTGCTCTGCATTCTAGACACAACCAACTGGGTCCATTTCCCTTTCAACCCTGAACAGTCCCCCAAAGTTCCCAGTCTAGACACTGATGGTCAGTTAGTGTCTGACTGCAGCAAGAATGAAACGATTGAATGGCCTGGCTGTCCACCAACCTGCCCATCTTCCTTGTCATTTCTCCTCAGCACCCCTTCATGCCACGGTTGGAAATCCTCATATTTTAGTCTGAAAAGATAGTAATAAACTCATTTGAAATAAATAAAACATACTGATAATTTTCCTTATGTGTGTAATTTGTGAATGTAAGTGAAATTCACTGTGTTTTTTGAGAATAAATGAAAGTAAAATGGTTGACTTTCCTAAAAGACAAAGTTTTTGTTCCCCTTCTGTTGTGTTACAATGGTAATTAAAACTATTTGAGATTGTTGTTTGTATTAAGGAAAGAGGATTATCAAGCTTATAAGAGATGATTTTCATTATTTACATTTTCAAGGCAGATTATCCCTTAACACAAAAATTAGAATTAGAGGTTTCTAGTTTAAGCATTTCATATTATATATATATATGTATGTGTGTGTATATATAATAATTGTGTATTAATATATATGCGATTAGATGTCTTGAGGGTGAAAAGAAATGGAAATACAGATGTTTCAGATATTTGAGACGTATGTAGGTGAATCCTGAAACGAATGTTACATGCTATGCTTGCATTTTGTCTAGAGCATGTTCTATTAGATGGGGTGGGCCTTCTTTCATGGGAGTATCATGTTAGTCTTCAGATGTTTTGGATTTGAGAAGATTTACATGTGGGGTTTTTGAACCAGAGGTTATACTTTTGACATAGTGTTCTCTGAATCTGAGAGAGAGCGAATCTTCTTCAATTATGCAGCCACCTATTACCTCACTAGTCTCCAATAGAGAGTTCCATGCCCAGGTTCACACAAAAAGTGCCCCGGGTAAAACACAGTCAATCATAAAAAAATACAAAAGAGTATGGATGTGGGAAGCAGAGTGGTCCAGAGATAGAAGGGAAAGAAGATAGAGTAATAGAAAATAATCAGAACACATTGAATATGCATGTGAAATTATCACAGAACAAGCTCCATATAAAAAGAGCAAAGAAAGAAGGAAAATTAGTGCTCCCAAGACAGTTGTTTCTCAAGAACACTTTTGATAGCATCTGAAGGCTTGATAGGAAGGCATATTTGTAACCATTTGACTAGGTTATTGGAGAACAGAATCCTCTTTGTGGTTAGTTGTATGAGAAACACATTGTGGGTTTACTAAAGGAGCAGTTGTACTGAGCTCAGACCCTCCTGAGCAATTGCTCACATGACTTGCTAGGACAGGGAGAGGGACAACAGAATATGATTTTATTAAGTTAGGCAATATTTCTATATTATTTATTTGGAAAAGATCATTAAATGTAATTATTTAAGTAAAATATAAAACATTTAACTAATTTTCTTGGTATTGAAGTTATGGAAATAAACAAGCAGAAAAGTTCAGCACTTAACTAAATAGAGGGGAGAAATATTGAAGCACATGGTTTTCTAAAAATGCCATGTCTCTAAAATACACAGTATGGTCATTCTAAACACTCACCAATCAGAAAAAAGACCAGACTATGGCTATTCTTGGCCATCAAAAAGTGTGAGCCTCATAACTTCCTTCAGCACAGGCTTTACTGAGGCGCATCTACCATGGCATGAGCCCTGCCTGCGTGATAGAAATGGACGAGTCCTCCTCTGCTCTGGAGCAGGAAGAACTAGGTCTTACCACAAGTAATTCCAACTACAGTGAAAAGCAAACTAACAGATTGCCCCGATTCTCTCTCTAGGCGTAAGAGAAACTTTAAGATAAAATATGTCATCCCACGGAGTTATCTGTGGATGGGTGACTATGTGGACATAGTCGGGACAGACAACAGCTCTGCTGCAAGTCGATTCTCCTGTCCTGGCCCGTGGGAAATTTTGTGACTACCTTTTGGTAAGACCTACAGCTTGGACTTGTGTTCACAAGAGGCTGCTGTGGAAACTGTGGGTCAATTTAATGCTGTTTAATTCACAGGGAAAAAACCAAATCAATGAACCAGAATGTTTACAGATTAAGAAACCATGTTAGTCTGATTGTATACAGGCTGCCAATTCAAGTTTTTTCCTCCCATGATGAACCTAGTGTGTACTTTCCACCACACACATTTCTTCACAGAACTAGACTCCTTAGATTTTCACCTGTGATGTTCATCAGGACTCTACAAGATCCCTGGGGTAGAATTCTGTTGAAGGATATGGACAGGACAAGGCCTTACTCCATTCCCCACATTCTTCTTCCCCAAATGATCTGGTATTCTCTGGGTTTTGAAAGTACACAAGTTGATCTCACTCCAATGGTACTGTGTAGTATAAATTTGAAAATTACCTCCTACACTCCCAAGTTAATTTCCTAAAAAAAATAGTATTTAACCATACAGATGAACCTAGTTACTCATTAAAAGCTCAGGTTCTTAAATGTTTTTGTAGTGGAATATCATTGGTGTCTATAGTCAACACATGAGGACCAGTGTCATTAGACCATCAGAATCAGAGTTAATTTGTGGAGTGCAGGTAAATGTCAAATTCACATTCTTATCTTTCATGAGAGGATCTGATCATGGTATACCAAGAATACCTGGAGTGCAATCATTGGAATCACAGGGATAGTGTAGCATACACCTGCTGTGGGAAAGCATACACCAGTATTCATCTTTGTTTTCCACATGAAGAATTCATCATATACAACCCCCAAATTTGGACTCTCCTCATTCCTCTGTCCAAACTTCTAGCCTCACTCCAGAATTTACTCAATTAACATAAACACTTGCAGGTTTTATAAACTTTCTGGTTCTGTGAGTTTGCTCTTTACCTGAGAAAAACATTTCCACAGAAATTTTTGAGGAAGAAGATCATCTTTGTGTCATTCTCTAAATACACTCTTTCCCCTTGTTAATATTCCTGAAGATTATCTATAGTTAATGCTTAGTGTTTCTTCCACATTGAATATGAGAGGAAGTACTGTATTTAGGGATTATGAAGAGTTTCACGACAGCATTTCCATTAAACTTTTCCTTTTATGAAGGAGTGAAATTTGGAAGTCATATTTAGACTAGTTCACTTTCAATTGAATATGTATCAGTGTCTTCAACCGTGCCTATCACTAAGTGTCTTTAAAGTTTCCTGCTATGTCACTTTTGTAATTGGTGATATTAGATGATTACGTAGACAACAGTCTATGTATATGGGAAGGTTGGGAATCACAGGCATAATCCACCCTTCTGATGAAACTGGTTACAGGCAGAATATAAAGTGGATGAGCAGGTAATTGTAGAAACATGAAATGTGCTGGTCTCTGGGCAAAAATCAGTCCATAGTACCACAGAAAGTTACATAGAATTTCCATGTGACTCTGCAGCTCCAAACATGGATGTAGAACCATTGAAAAAGGGAGAAGAAAAGTCTGTGCATGAATGTTCTTCACAGCACGGATCATTATATCCAGAATGTAGAAACAATTCACATATTAAACTTATGAATGGAAAAACAATACATGGCACAGGGATGTGGGCAAGGGGAAATAAAAATAGTGAAATGCACGACCAGCCTCCACACTACAGTGAACTTCTTATCATGGAAGATTTCCAGTGAAATAACAGGTCAATCAGAATCCCAGTCATGTGGAGAATGCCATCTACACCTGCACCCTCATTGATAACAAATGGCGTATAATATCTTTATGAGGAATAGTCTTAAAAATCTTTGTACAAGTGTTTCAAGAGTCTAATTTGTTTTTCACTTTTTATATTACAGTTCCATGGAACAGAAAGATCGGTGGTATTTTTATCTCCAAAGGTATTTTACTAGTATTCGTATTTTAATTCCTTGGTAGTATAGGAATGGTAGTCTGTGATTATATATATATATATATTCTGATATAATCTGATAGATTGTCTCCAAATGTGGTGTTGATTAGATGATCCCTCACTACTGTTTCATTTTCTCCTGTTAATATGCATATTTTGTTTAATTTTGAGGAAGTCCTTCTTGCCATGCTCTTCATCATCTCCTCTTTAATCTATATATTGGGGTAAACGGTACTCCCAGACTTATTTTAAACTCCCATCAATACAGGTTACTCTACCATCCACACTCAAACCATCTGCTGCTTCCTACTTTGAAATCAAGCAGGTTCCTGCCCTTCCCTGTCACACAAAACATTTTGAGGACTGGATATGCTTCCAAAATCACATCTAAGGGCAATGTGCTATTACCTATGGGAGGCCAGCTCCCACCTTTTAAAGGGTTCCTATTAGGAGGAGAGAGGAATAAGAAAATATTAGATAGAAAGATAGTGAAGAGGAAAAAGACAGCAACACAGGATATTTTTGGGAAGAGCTGGATCAAAACCCACCAGCCCCTTCTGCCTCTTCAAAAGGGATTTTTATAATGGTGTCAAGTGGCAGGGCAAAAGACCTCCTCTTTGCTAGATCAAAGCACACCGTGCAGCCAAGTGTAGACCCTTCCAAATACCTGGTAACCACGCCTGTGGTCAAACCATCCCTTTATGTAGCTCTACTGGGTAAAGCAAGCTCAAATTCTTGGACCCTGAGTAAGTTCTTACTAGGAAACCTCTGTGGTTGTCTATTGCTCCTGCTTTTTAATACATTAACGGGCCCCTCAGACCCCTCAGATGGACTGTGCCTGCCTTAGGTCGTCCTTCTTTATAATCTTCTTTACCCATTGTGGAGATACACTTTCCATCAAGCATCCTCTGTCATCCGTTAGCAGCTAGCAAGAAGAACTTTACCTGTCTCTGACTACCAGCCTCTGGCAGGGGGAAGTACAGAGCTTAACTCAGCTCCTACTCAGGTCCCTACTAGGAGCTGCAAGTAGTTTGAATAACCACAGCAATCCCTATGGCTGCCACCCCCTGCTCCCCAGGAAAGGAGTAGAGGATGACCAAGATGGAATGTCCTTTTTGTATGGGTCAAGATGTTTATAACAGCCTTAGCTGTGCTAAGTCCTTTTTTAAATCAATAAACTCTTGATGCAAAGGCATCAAATAAATCGATAGACTCCTGATGCAACTGCATCAAACCTAAAGACTCCCTTAGATTCACCAAACCATGGTTCACTAATATTATGGGTGACTTTGCCATTCTGATAGATGACACCCCCCCAGAAGTTCCCTTCTGAGAAGGAGAGACCTGAAGAGCTTCCAGTTTTTAAGAAAGAGAAATTACGAAGTTTTCCAAGCACTTTAGTTCCTCCCTTGTCTAATCCCAAGTTTTCTGTTCCTTAAACTGGGCTTCATGGCCAAGAGGGAACTGACCCTGATTGAATGATGTTGTAAAACACTCTCATCTACCAGCAGCTCTGGCAGAGCAGAGGGTTTTGTTCTGCCTGTATCTGCCTCAGGAAAACTACCCCCTGCTGCTCAGGATTTAGATTTAAGCTGTCCTGAATTAATGCCCACAGGCTAAAAGCTTCCACTGGAATTTTTTCCGGCCCATGTTCCTCATGATATTTTTGCATTTCAACTCTAATTCTCCCCCAGGAGTCTGTGTCCAGAGTCCCATAGTCAGAAAACCAAGGACACGGCTCCTCTACGAACTCCAGGAACCTCTGTACTTGTTGCTGTTCTACCCGAACCCCCCAGTTTCCAAACTCTCTACAAGCGAGTATACAAACATCTGCCGACTGTTTCCCTGCCCTACGGCAGCTTTTCTCCTCAGACTGCTAAGTCCGCGGTGGCTGCTTGTTCCTGGACGCTGTTTTCAGGTCCGGCACTACGGAAATTCTACTCTTACCCTAAGTTTCTTCCTACACAACATTCCTATACCCAAACCCTACATTTCTTTTATTAATTTAATAGATAGAAATTGAGAGAGAGAGAAAGAGAGAAACCTAGACAGAGAGCGATACTTGCTGTATACAGTTTTTGCTCTCAAAGAATAAAATACCACCGCCTTAAACTTAATACAAAACCAAACATGTCCAACTGCTTCCGTGGTTCTTTCTCCCCCACTTACTTCCTCTGCACCCAAGTCCCTAGTTCTGGTGCCAATCTGTATGAGGCCAGCTCCCACCTTTTAAAGCGTTCCTATGAGGAGGAGAGAGGGATAAGAAACTTAGAAAGAAAACGAAGAGGAGAAAGACAGAAACACAGGATAGCTTCAGGAGGACCTGGATCAAAACCACCATCTCCTCTGCCTCTTCAAAAGGGTTTTTTATAACAATACCAAGGGGTGGGGCAAAAGACCTCCCCCTTTCTAGATCAACGCTCACCACACAGCCAATTGTAGACCCTGCCAAATACCTGGTAACCATACCTATGGTCAAATCATCCCTTTATGCAGCCCTGCTGGGTAAAGCAAGCTCAGATTCTCAGACACTGCATAAGTTGTTAATAGGAAACCTCTGTGGGTCTCTGCAATTACCTAAACATGTCTTTGTTGCTGAAATATTTTTGAACATTTCTTATTCTATAATGCATATTGCTGAACTGATAGTCTTTTATTTAAAACCAACATGATATTGATAAAATATTAACAATGACTAGTGCAAAATAAGATATTAACAAACACATTACTGTATTGTGTGTTTTAATGCATTTGAACAGATCCATTAATGAAGCCACAAAGGGCTACAGGAAGCATGTTAAACTCCCGATATTCACCGAGGACATCCCAAGCTGTGCCAGTGTATGTGAATATAAAACCAAAAATGACATCCCAAGTTCATGACTAGGAGAGACATGCAGCTTATAAAGCAATGGAAGTTGGGGACATAAGAAGGGGGTGGAGGGGAGAGAGAGTTTGAGATTTAGGTAGTATTTTGTTAAAAAGGTATATGTGTATGCCATGCATACCTGTCTTTCATATGTGATATGTAGAAAACAACATGAAGCAAGATTGATCCACATTAGCTACAGTGCTAAAACAAAAGAAATAATTTTTGGTTAAATGACTGAAGATTGACTCAGGTAGTTCCAACAACATACATTTCCAAGCTAAGTATTCCTACTGCAATTTAATTTTTTTCCAGTTCTTGTTGCTTACATAGAGACTTATGTGTTGTTTCTACTATTCCTTATTTATTTTAAAATATTTTTGTCTAATCATAAATAATTCTAATCATAGATTATTATAAACAAATTTTAAGCAAACTATTATCAAGAATTTTATTCACTCTCCATACTCACCTGCTTGATCATAATTGACCTCTATGAACCCGTCCCTTGCTACTTCTCTTTGTCTCTCACTGTGTGTTCTCTCACGTGCTTTGAAGAATGGCTGCATCACCATGTGAATCTCACGGCATAAGGACATCCTTTCATGGAACTTCAGTTGAGAATCCACCTTTAGAAACTGAACATTGCTGTGTGAGTGTGTGTGTGTGTGTGTGTGTGTGTGTGTGTGTGTGTGTGTGTGTGTGAAAGAGAGAGAGAGAGAGAGAGAAAGAGAGAGAGAGAGAGAGAGAGAGAGAGAGAGAGAGAGAGAGAGAGAGAACACATGTATGTAAATAGTCTTTAAAATAAGTCTTATGACTTCATACATACTAGACAGTTGTTCTGTCATTGAGTTACATACATGTCTATTAATATACTAGTTTGCTTTTCTGGTTTGTTTTTCTAATTTTTCTATTTTTGTTCCCATTCCACTACTGGATTCACTGAAGATCAGCAATTTAGCTATTATATAGAATGCTAAGCATTGAAAAAAACCTTTCCTACTATAAAAACAGGATGGAATCTAGCTGAAAGGATCGCCACCTTTCTGACTTTTATATAAAACACATCAGAGTCAATATTCTAATGTGTCACTGTTGAAACTGAACTCGAGTAACCAAGGTGTGTCTGATGAAGATAGTTTAGATCATGCAGCAACTGGTTCTGCATAGTAGGTCCCCATCATACACAACAGTGCTTAAGGAGAAAAGTGTTGTATAAAAGTAATTTCTAGCCTGTAATGTAAATCATGAGAACACTCTAGCCAGCTTTGCTGAACCAGATGTGTCTTCAGGGCAGAGCAGCGCAGAATGACCAGTAGGGAAATGTTCTCTTGCCCCTGCTGGCTTGATTTCAGCCATGGCACATGTTCAGTATTACACATGAGAAATCTCCCTGATACCTTAAAACACCAATGCAAATGAGACATTCTTTTAAAATAAAATTACTTACCAATTTCCATCCAAGATTCTGTTGCTTTTATATTTTATCCTGCAATATTTTATCCAGTACCCTTTTGCGTAGTGCAGGTGATTGGCTATACATATGTTTTGGCTTTCTTCATGTGATAATGTATTTATTTCCCTCTTATTCTTAAAGAGATTCTCAGAACATAGAACATTCTTTTGATGTTTTTGGTTCTTAAATATCATCCATCATTTTTCTTTCTCCATGTTTTCCAGTCAGCAATGATCCTTCATACATATTTTTATCTACTTCTTTAAGGCTTTCTTTGATTTTCTATTTATAATTTGGCTTTTTGAGGTTTGATAGTTCTTTGAATCATCTGTGTATTTCATTACACTTAAAATAAATCTGACATTTTTTTCTTTGTACAAATTAAGGGAAGTTTTATGCTATTCTTACTTTCGGACTATTTTGCCTCCTAATTTTCACAGTAAAATTTTTAGAATTGAACATAGATCTCTCAGATTGTTTATATTTTTAAATACATAGATGCAGATGATTTCTAAAATTATCTTCCATAATTTTATGCAAGTATACAAATCCATTGCCAACTCACCTACACCCAAGATATCCCAAAATCATTCTCTCTCTCTCTCTCTCTCTCTCTCTCTCTCTCTCTCTCTCTCTCTCCCCTATTGACTTTAATTTCACATGTAGACAATAATAACTTTTTAAACTTAATCTTGTATAGATAATAATTAACTGTGCTGTCCTCATGAGTCAATGGCTATGCTATGGCTGGAAGAAAGCATTTCACTGTATGCCTATATGATTTTAAATAATGTTTTGAAATTCATGCCTTGTTAGTGATATCAATAATATTATTTTACCTGATCATTATTTTTATTTAGTTTTCTTAATGTATAATTTCATTATTATTATACTTTATATTTCTATCTGAGGCTATAGTTATTTTTAACATTAAAAATAATTCCTTTATATCATTAAGCATAATTATAAAAACTTATTACTCCTCATAGTTTCAACATGTGACCTATTATGAGGTTGGTCTTCATTCTTAAGAATTATTTACATATCCCTGGTTCTTTATGTGTCAAGTAATATTTTAACATACACAGCAAAACTATGTTATATTTTCATTTTTAATTCTCCCAAAAACCCTATTTTCAGAAATAGTTTCTTTATATAGACTCTGTCTCTTGAAATGTGACTGTTTTATGAACAAAATCACCATCAGGAAGGAATGTACACATCCCTGCAATCATTATTTAGATCTTAATATGTTCCAAATGCTTTGAAAATACAATATCTTCTAATGATGTGAATTAAAACACTATTAGCCCATCACACAATATTTTTTGTAAAAAATACTTCACTGTTTTAAAATTATTGAGAAGAGTTTTCACACATTCACCAAAATATCAGAAGCTTTTCTTATCGTTAAAGATATTACTCCTCTCTCTCTCTCATATATATATATTCTATGGTTAGTAAGATGTTAAATCAGTGAGTGTAAGATGTCCTTGTTCATAAAATTCAATTAACCTGGCATGTTACAGAAAAGTTTGGCATCAATCTTCAGCACTGCACACACACTTATTTTCAAGTTAGTCGGTTATGCCTAATAGTTAAAGGATAATAAATGAAATTGCCTTGAAAGAGGTGGCTTATGGAGTGGTTCCTTTCACCTTGCTTCAGTGTTGTTAAGGATAGGGAGCGGGCACCTGTGTTGTTTTTCTCCTTTAAAGGACAGTTTCCTAGAGTCTTCCTACAATCCTTATTGCAGATATATCTGATGTTAAAGAAACCATGTGCATAAAACTATACCTATCTATTGATTGTCGTATTCTATAAAGATGTATTAGAATTCCACTATATCAGTGCTATCAACTCAGATTCTTATCAATTAGTTTCATTCTATTTCCTATACACTGTCTTCCTAGATCTTTGGAGAAGATTCTCAACGTGAGAGGCAGTAAAGAGCTAATACTATGAGCACATTGTTCTTAAGAGTATTGAGAGATGGGGTTTCATTTCTAAAATCTTCTGGATCTATCACCTCAACAGATTTTTTTTTAATTTAAGAAAACTTTTTATTCATTTACATACCAACCATAGATCCCCCACTCATTTCCTCCTCCCGTTCCTCTCCAGCCTTCCTCCCCACCAACCCAGCCCCCCATCCCCTCCTCCAAAAGGGTAAAGGATGCCATGGGGAGTCAGTAAAGCCTGGTACATTTAGTTGAGGCAGGACCAATCCACTTCCCCCTGCATCTAGACTGAGCAAGGCATCCCACCATAGGTAGTGGGCTCCAAAAGGCAGCTCATGCACCAAGGATGGATCCTGATCCCACTGCCAGGGTCCCCTCAAATAGAGCAAGCTACATAACTGTCTCCCACATGCAGAGGGCGTAGTCTGGTCCAATGCAGGTTCCACAGCTGTTGGTCTAAAGTTCGTGAGTTTCTCCTACGAGCTTGGTTCAGTTGTCTCTGTAGATTTCCCCATCATGATCTTGAACCCCCCTTACTCATATAATCCCTCTTTCCTCTCTTCGACTGGACTCCCAGAGTTTGGCCTGCTGCTTAGTATGGATCTCTGCATCTGCTTCCATCAGTTACTGGATGGAGGCTCCATGATGACAGGGTATTCACCAATCTGATTACAGCAGTAGGCCAGATCAAGCACCTTCTTCACTATTGCTAGTAGTTTAGGCTGGGCTGGTCCTTGTGGATTCCTGGGAACTTCCCTAACCCCATAATGTCTCCCTCTATCAAGATATCACTTACATTGCTCTCCCACTCCATCCCTCCCCCAGCTCAACTATCCTGTTCCCTCATGTACTCATCCCCCATCCCCTCCCCACTACTGCCCCCACCTCCCAGTTTACTCATGGAGATCTAATCTATTTTCCCTTCCTAAGGTGATCCATGCGTCCCTCTGTGATCCTCCTTGTTACCTAGCTTCTCTGGAGCTGTGGGTTGTAGTCTAGTTATCCTTTGCTTTACATCTAGTATCCACATATGAGTGAGTACATACCATATTTGTCATTCTGAGTCTGGGTTACCTCACTCAGGATGATATTTTCTAGTTCCATCCATTTGCTTGCAAATTTTATGATGTAATTTTTTTTTTTTTTACAGCTGAGTAATACTCCATTGTGTGTATGTACCACATATTCTTTATCCATTCTTCAGTTGAGGGGCATCTAGGTTGTTTCCAGGTTCTGGCTATTATGAATAATGCTGCTATGAACATAGTTGAGCAAGTGTCCTTGTGGTATGGTTGAGTCTGCCTGTCGCGTCTGCCTCGACCAGCAAGGAAGACACAACACCAGGCTCTTCTCCAAGCAGTATATTCAGGAACCTTGAACAATCCTCTGACCCCGGGGAAAGCCAGCCCACGCCCTTTATAGCCACTGGGCAACCAACCCCGTAGTGCCACGTGGACAATGCCGATAGGGACAGACATACGCAAGCAAGCCAGATTCCACGCCCAAGCCAAATAAGGAGTTGTTTATCCCAGAGAACACCTGCCATCGGGAAGGCGGAAGCTGGACGCTGGTGCCATCTTTGAGGCGCGGCCGTGCATGGCTCTCTACATCTGCCTTGGGTATATGCCCAAGAGTTATATCATTGGGTCTTGAAATAGATTGATTCTCAATTTTCTGAGAAGTCACCATACTAATTCCCAAAAGGCTGTACAAGATTGCACTCCCACCAACTGTGGAGGAGTGTTCCCTTTGCTCTACATCCTCTCCAACTTAAGCTGTCTTCAGTGTTTTTGATCTTAGCCATTCTGACAGGAGTAAGATGGTATCTCAGAGTTGTTTTGATTTGCATTTCCCTGATGACTAAGGATGTCGAGCAATTCCTTAAATGTCTTTTGGCCATTTGAGATTCTTCTTCTGAGAATTCTCTGTTTAGCTCTGTAGCCCATTTTTTAACTGGATTGTTTGGTATTTTGATGTCTAGTTTCTTGAGTTCTTTATATATTTTAGAGATCAGCCCTCTATCAGACGTGGGGTTGATGAAGATCTTTTTCCATTCTGTAGGCTGTTGTTTTGTCTTATTTATTGTGTCCTTTGCTTTACAGAAGTTTCTCAGTTTTAGGATGCCCCATTTATTAATTGTTGCTCTCAGTGTCTGTGCTACTGGTGTTATATTTAGCAAGTGGTCCCTGTGCCAATGCTTTCAAGGCCACTTCCTACTTTCTCTTCTGTCAGGCTCAGTGTAGCTGAATTTATGACCTCAGCAGATTTCTACACTGAATATCATCTATTTGCAAAGCCTGACATGGAGAAAGTGCTCATCCATATTGGTATTTTGAAGAGAAAGAAAAGATGCAGCCAGTTCTTATCCTGACTTTCTTAGACCTGCACACATGCTGTGCATGAAAATAAAGATGTAACATGATGGAGGCAGAGCTGGGGTGGAAGGAAAGGCATCAACCCTCTTTTTAACCCCCACCCCCAATAAGGAAAGAAAATTCAGAATGCTGAGTTCCAGCACCCATGGCTCCACAGTCTGCCTTTATCATAAAAACCAGTTACCTGCTGTGTTTGAATACCCAGTACCCAAGTACTTAAATTGAAGATAAATATGTTAGACTTATAGTTTTCCAGCGTTATGGTATATAAAGGGAAGAAAACAAGATACTTATTCTACATTAGAGTTGTCATGAGAGCCCATAGATTATAAGTGATGATTAGACAATAACTAATCGTGTGCCTTTAAGTTATTTTATAGCATTTTCTCTGCACTTTTTATAACCTTTATATGTAACAACAACAGACTTGGAAACTGTGAATGATGTTATGAAGAAGTTGCTACCTATGATAGGAAATCCTGTAAGTTACTTTCAAGCTATTTTGACTTAAATTTGAGCTTTTTTTGAGATCTACATATGTGCAAATGTGCATATAAAGATATACAGAAGACACTTGATCATGATAAATTTACAAATCATATTTTACAATCTCCTTTTAGAACTGAAGCATCTAAGATAAAATGATAAATTAGAGGGACATTTTTCTTGAATATTTGTCTAAGGTTCATGTGAAATGAAACTCATAGCTCAATGGTTTTGAGCTATACTTTTAGTCTCCCTAGGCAATTTACATTTTCTATTATAAAAAATAATTGAGATTATTTGGTTATATGCACACATCAAATTTAAAGACTGCCAATCATAGAGGGAATGATGTTCTTCTTTTTTATTTTTTGATTATATTGCACTTCATATTTGGTATCTAATTCCTTCTCCTCTCCCATTCCTTCTTCTTTCACTTCTCTGTGTGTGGAGATGTAGATGTTGTGTTTGGATGTGTTCTTTTTCTCTCTTAATATTTATGTGTATGTGTCTATTTTTATCTCAGTTCTTCTTTCTCTCTGCATACATATCTGTGTTTAACTTTGTCTTTTTTGTGTAAATATGTGTCTCTGTATTTATGTCTCTCTTTGTGTATATGTTTCTCTGTATGTGTATATGACCCTCTCTATCACCTCCTGTGAGTTTGTATGATTTCTCTGTATTGTTCTCTCTGTCTCTGTCTCTCCCTGGGTCTATGTATGTCTTTCCCTGGGTCTATGTCCCTCTCTCTTTCTCTCACTCCCATGGTGTGTTGGGGGTGGTGGTAGTGGTGTGTTCGTTTGCTTGAATGTGTATGTCTGCTCGTTTTAATAATTAAGACTTCTGCAGAGCAATGCAACTGTTTTTAATCCAGAATCAACAATAAAGTACAATTAATGATAACTCCAGTTAAAGCATATTTTTACTTTACCCACTATAGTAGGGTGCTAAATATTTCAACAGAATACTCCATTTAGAAAGTTGTTCCAAATGGATCCATAGCACTGTGTACAGTAATTGTGTTGTGGAGCTTGTTTTCAGCATCTGGTCTATTTTCTAGGTTAGACACATGTACTTCCTCTCCACAGATTGGACATCTCTGAATGAAAGCCAAAATTTGTTTTTACTCCTAGGCATCCTCAAAGCCTCTCTGTTTTTTGTCTATTTTGCCCAGCCTTACTCTTTCAAAGGATACTTTGCTCAAGAAATCATAGGCACTGAGGTTGTGTGGCTCTCTGGGTACTAGGTTGTGTGGGCATTTCATGTCAAAGTTCAATATTCCACACACATGTGGACAAACAGATGTAACAGATCTTGGAATAACCTTTTTCTTGGTAACTGTTGATGGGTGAATATAATTTTTTATCCCATGGACATTCACATTCTATTGTGGATCAATAGATCTAGGCTCCATCAGAAAGGCAAGCCAAGTACCCAAGCGTTTTCTCCTGAAATCATTGCAGGTGACTCAAACCTGTAGTCAAAAGACACATCATTAATAGTGATCCTAAAAATTTTCCTGCTGGAGAGCTGGGAATGGTGAGGAAAGGTATTCTTAAAGAATCCACTGTGAAAGACTATCTGTGATGGTTGGTTCTTTTTGTGCCCCCAGAGTGCTCAAGATTATCAACTGTGGTTCTGTCGTGGCCTCCAAGAAGCCCCAAGCCTACTCCAAGGTAAGTAACAGGGAAAACTAAAGAGGGCTGACCAAGGCAATGTTTTCACCCTGAATTCTCAATGTTTTTGTCATTCATTCTTAAAGTTAAATCAACATTAAAAGAAAATAACTTAAACATTATTTCATTCATTTAATTCACAATTACCAACTATTTAATAGAACCTAGTCACATGATACTATCTTTTTATGCAACGGTCTATGGTCTGGTGAAAAAAACCCTGGAATTTTCCTGTGCATTTCCACCTGAGAAACAGAATTTTCCTAAAAAGACAAACAAAACAAGACTTTGGATTTCTTGATTCTAAATAAAAAAATTTTAATTTTCATTCATTGAAGATTAAAGACAATGCTAGGGGCTAGAGACATGTCTCAGTGATTAAGAGCACTTACTAACTTGTTGTTCTTGCAAAAGGGCTGGTTTTGATCCACAACACCCACAACCATCCAAAACTCGAATTTCAGGGGATGTGATTACCTCTTCTGATCTGCTCAGGCACCAGGTACAACATGGTGCACAGATACACATGTGAGAAAAAAACACATACATAAATAAGTCTAAAACTAAATTTAAAAACTTTAAAAAATATTCTGTTTACTCCAAACTATGTAGCTTCTGTTTTGGCATGAAAATGTGAAATTTAGCCATTTCTCTGAATCCATGTAAATATAGTCAGTTCACATCTCTCTATGACCTCATTGAATGACAGATATTCTGTTCAGACTTTGGGAGCCTTCCTGACTGAATCACCTGCTATTCCTTATGTTGCATTTTTCTGGAATTTTTCCACAAGATTATTGACACATAGGTAATAGTAATAGAAGAATTATCTGAAGCATTTGGATAAGAATTAAAAATCTGAGATTACCAAGTCTGCTCTTGAGGCTGACCTTCAAAAGATACTGAAAAGGTGATGTTCTAAGACATCTAAGACATGTAGTATCCCTTAGACAAGTAACAGTGAGGATGTCTGTTGGAGATGAGAGAACATTGCCTTGTTGTTCAAACCTTTCTCATGTATCCTGAGAACAATCTCTGGGGACATTCTTGGTTACTCAAAGTACAGAAATCAGACTAATTTTTATAAATACTTATTTTCCGGGTTTTAGTACACTGGGCAATATGGGGGGAGTAACCCACCTACATCTTTGATATTTTTTTCTTTATGGCACAGGGTATTGATGTGGAGCCCAGGCAGGTAAGGGAATCCTGACCCTCACTGTCACCATCACATGAGTGCTGGGAATACAGACATGTGCCAAAAATGTCTGGTCCTTTTGCTTTTTATAAGGTGGATACAATTACAGTTCTCAGTCAATGATAAGACAAATGTGGGGGGCTTATTACAAAATAAATTACTGAAAGGTGTCAACTTGGTAATATTTTAATTCTAAGGTTTGGAAGAGCTTTGCATATCATGGATGCTTCAGAAATCCCAAGAACTTAGCAGTCTTGTTGATTTCCCAGCATTCATTTTGAATGTGTATTTCAACCCACAGGCCATACTCAAGTAAGTATACTCATGCCTAGATTGTTCCATATTGATCCCTTGGAAGCTTCTAGAGTCTACTAATTTAAATGTTACTGTAACTCTTGATCTGATTGTAGCACTGACACTGTATCTGTGTCAGAAGGAAAGGTAAAGCAAGAGCTTAATTATGTTGGTGATTCATCAGAAATGGACAAGGGCAAGATTTCATCCTTCCCAGAAAACCATATCCACATCCCAGCACAGACTCTTTAAGGTTCCTTTAGAGAAGAAAAATGTAAAACATGGGAGAGCAAAGAAAACATCTCTACATTAGTTCCAATTTTGTAGATGTAGTTCTAGCCCACAGTTGCTGTCAGAACACAGTCCAAGAATGGAGTCATGAGAGGGAAATTCTGAGTGCTTGTGAGAAAACTCCACGAAACCAAGACAAAGGTCTTGTGACTTCAGTTTCATCAAAAACACGGAAATGTTTTGGCATGTGATTTTGTGCTCTTCCCAGGTGTAGCAGATAGGAGTGAGTTCACTCCAGCTGCTGTTACTCTTCAGCCTCTATGGAAAGTATTTTTGCCACGTGCAGCTTGTCCTTGTGATTGTGCACTTTGCTCAGGAGACTCTTCTTCTCCCTCAGATATCAATTGTCTGATGCTCTCAGTAAAGTTGGCTACTTCGTGAGACTTTAGTCCACCTCATGTTAAGGCCCCATGTCCCAGGTTCGTGCCCCCTTGAGTGGTAAACAACTGCTGTGTGTCCAGGAGGCTTCTGTGTTTTCAAGACAGAAACCAGCAGGCCTTAAAACTGTCACAAGGAGCACAGCAAAAGTCCCCTTACACAGTGCGCTGATGGGCCTATGTTCTTCAAACAAAGTGACAAGTTGAAAGTTTTCTGTTTTTAGAGTTCTCGGCTTACACATCTTTACCTCATCAGAGTATCCCAGGGAGGCTCCTGACGATCTGCGTGTACAATCTACTTGGTCGAGAAGCACAAGGAGAAATCCAATATAACAGTGCATGCTAAAGCACATTGGCAGGTTTGCTCACATTCATTACCCTCAGTTTCAACTCACATTTGTATTTTCTTCTCATAGAGCATGAGCATCCCTATGACATCATAATGAGAAACATTCAAAATACTGTCAGTCGACGACAGAAATCAAGAAAGTGCACAGCTTTTCCTGCCCTGCCTGGGCTGTATGTGGAACAACCAGATCTATAGGGGCGATTCATCCTAAAGCCCAGAGATCCAGCAAGAAGCCAGAAGCAGAGCAGTGAGTCCCTGACCTTCCTTCAAGTGGCCTTTCTCAATTCCAGTTTCTGTTCTGCATACAATATCAATGCATAGTGTCATTTCTTGCTTGGAAAGGGGCACTATAAGGAACAAAATCAAAAACCAAACAACACACCACAGGCCAGACTTGAGAGAATTCTAAGTGCTGCAAGACTCAGCTTGTCCATAGGGAGAACATTCCACTCTTCCAGGCAGATTGTCACCATAAGTATGCCAAGATACTGTCTACACATAACCATGTGTGCATACACCTTTGGTCCCATTAGAATATGATTTCTAAGACCTGGATCCCCATATGTTCCCCATCATGTGGTTTCATGATCAGAGCAAAAAATGTCCTAATCACTACACTTAGACAAACCTGTAATGAAAGTGGAAGGGGAGATCATCTGTTCTGGACTTGGGTAGAAATGGTCTTAGGATAAGAGCCCAGTCTCTAATCTCATTTCAGTTCACAAAACAACTGTGTTTTATATATGTCTTTGGATCTGAGTGGACCTAACATTTGTATACTGGGGCCTTTGAATTTATTTAAATATTTTTCAAATTATACTATACTTTCATTATTTTCCCCTTTCCTCTCCTTTCTCCAAAACCTCCCATGAACCACTGAGGTTGCTTTCAAATTTTTGTCTTTTAAAAAATTATTACATATATACATGTATAAGCACATGTGCACACACACACACACACACACGCACATGCTCACTCACTCACTTACTCACTCACTCACACATCTTACTCAATCTGAATGATATCACTTGTGTTTTAAGACCTGACTATTTGGTATTGGAAAGCCAACCAGTATATTGTATGCTGAGAAAGACTGTGTATTTTGTGTTTTGTTCTGGGACTCCTTTGTTTAATGTTAATGTGTTTGTTGTAACTTTTTAAAGATTTCACTATCGTCCAATATTCTAAAAGCAATCTCAGAAGAGAAGAAGAAACTTTGATCTCAGCTTTGAATTAACACAGTGGGGGCGTGGGCCCAGAGTCTGTTGGACAAACGTAGTCATGTACACTTTCTCATGAGGGCATCTGCTGCTGATGAAAGAGAGTTGACAGTGGTTCTTCAAAAAGCTCAGCAAGAAACCTAAGAATGGGACACTATGACACTGGAGGACAAGAACACAGCTTGATCTGAATACCAGTGAGGGTGGCTGTGAAAAAGGAAATGACCACTGAGGCCTCTGATGGTACATAACTCAGGAAGCTTGTTCAACTGGCTATCAAGTACCTCATGATGTAATGTGGGGGCTAGACAACATTGTGTTGTGAGAATTCCCACCAAAGAACACTCAGATCAAGTCTCTGAGATTAACAACAGTGTAGAGTATAGAGAAGAAGAATGCACACACACACACACACACACACACACACACACACACACACACACACACACACGACAGGATGAGTAATCAACTTAAGAATGTGGGGAATTTTATATCAGAAATGATAACCTCTTTGTATGCATTGCAACAGGTACATTATAAACTGGGGATCTGCGACAAAGGTTACGTAAATGAAACTACTCCGTGTAATGATCTCATCTCCTCTTTAGATACAGAGGAGCCAACAGTTAAGAGAAGACGGCCTTTCATATGCTGGTTGTTCCACAAGGGCTCTGTGCCCCATGAGGACCAAGTGTGCACAGCCCTGCCAGTTGTGAAGACAGGAAAAATCTTCAGAAAAGATCTGACTGCCATTTGTGAGGATGGCAATCTACCCACAGCAATTCTGGTAGGTCTCACATGGTTCTTCTCTGGCTGTCCTGAGGACAAAATCCTGCTTCTCCTAAATGCCTCCCCGCTTCGATTCTATCATCAAGTGGAGAAGCAAGTGTGCATCAAATCGTTGGCTTAAGAATAGGAAGGTAAGAGAGGGCTATTGGCCACAAACCGTGTATTGGAAAAGTTGGATTAAATCACTTTGCTGTAGTGGAAAATCTGATTACAAATAAACATTGCCTGAGGTCTCAGGGTTAACGCTAGGGTGGGATGGGTACAACAGGAGATAGAAGCACCAAAACCAGGCCAAGGTCCTCTTCATCCACACCAGCTCTGGCATTGCACCTGCGCACACCATTAGCCTGGTTCTCAAGAAGAAGGAAACCCTGCTCTGTGCTGCCAGTGGAGTGACGGGTGTTTCTCTTTCTTCTCTCAGGACATACTCTCCTTTATTAGTGTAAGGGGGCCAATCACTGAAGGCATCTTCAGCACACCTGGCAAAATAAGAGCATTCCTAGCCCTAAAAGAAAGGCTGGATCCCGGGACAGACGTGAACTTGAACCACGAAAGTGTCCCTGTTGTGGCGTCTATCTTCAAGGTAGGGAGAGTCCTCGCATCCTCTGCACTCAGGATTCCTCCCAATCTGTGTGAGTAGTTTCCTGCATCGTGTGTACTCTTGAAGGGCAGTAGACAGGACTGACAGAAATCTGATAAGCCAAAGGTTCCTGTGATGCTCACAACAGAAGGGTTCAAGCACAAACCTGTCACAGTGAAGGGGAATGTGACTAAGCATCGTTATTTGATTCCTCTGTTCCTCATGCAAAACAGGTTTCAAAATAATAATAGGGTACGGAGGGTTATTTATACAGGCACATGGGTGTCACCTTGTGTCCATGCCTCGTCAGGTGTGTTTTGTTACCAGTTTCCAACATTCTCTGTCACTCTAAGTTTTTCCTGAGAGGCGGGTTTTTCTTCCTTAGTAGAGCATGTATCTCCTCCACATATACTTTGGCTACACATAGCCAGTAAGATCCCATGATTTTCCTGTCTCCCTCTCATGCAATGTTGAGATCCAAATGCAGGTCCTCATGGCTTTGAAGCTGGCATTCTTAATCACTGAGCCATCTCTTCAGCCCCATAAAATGATACTTTCATGTTACTATTAAAATTCAACTGAAATTACATCATTTCATGCCTTCCTTTTCCTTGCTCTAAGTCCTCATGTTTCCCATCAACTTCCCACTTCCTCTCAAATACAGGGTCCATTTTCTTTAATTTTTGTTATTACATACATATATACATATACATTCATAAAAATGTTAAAACCACCTGATGAGTCCACTTATGGTTAGCAGTATATGCGCTATTTCTTAGCCACCAATTGGTATTGGATTACCAATTAGGGGGTTCATCTTTGAGGAAGACTAATTTTTCCACTCTCAGTAGTATTTGTAGATGTATCCAACCTTCTTATTAAATAAGAAACACAGAACCAATGCAAAGAAGAAAGCCAAGAGGTCAGAGCTAAGAGCTAAAACCTTACCCTTCCTCCTGCGGTGGTCCTACCTCTCCGAACCAGAGCTACCCCTGTGTTAAAGTCTTTATATAGAGTTCCTGTCCTGCCTTCTCATTGGTTGTAAACCCAACCACATGACCGCCTCCTCACGGCCTGTCTGTATAGGCCTCCAGGTTTTCCATGATTGGTATTAAGATTAAAGGCATGTGTATCCAATAATGGCTGTATCCCTGAACACACAGAGACTTACCCAGCTCTGCCTACCAAGTGCTGGAATTACAAGCGTACGCTACCACTGCCCTGCTTTCCTATGGCTTGCTAATAGCTCTGACCCCCGGGCAACTTTATTTATTAACATACAAATAACATTTTAATACAAATAAAATATCACCATAAGTATTTATGTGTCTGTAGTTCTATATCTAGAAGTCTGGCTTCATGTGATTTCCCCATCCCAAGTTAGTGCTATTTTAGGATGATATTTTTGTTCAGGAATATTGTTTAAGCAACCATATTGTTGCTCAGTTTTGAGATATTTATTTGACAGTCACTATACAAAGACACACATTCCATTTCCTCTGCCACTTAGAGGATGTTATGTTGTTGTTTTGCTTTTTTTGGGGGGAGGGGGCACTCAGTTCTCAAATAAACCACACACGAGGCTTATTCTTAATTATAAATGCCCAGCCTTAGCTTGGCTTATTTATTGCCAGCTTTTCTTATCTTTAAATTATCCCATCTACCTTTTCCCCTCTGGGCTTTTCCTTTTCTTACTTCTGTATATGTTACTTTCATTCTTACTCTGTGGCTTGCTATGTAGCTGGGTGGCTAGCCCCTGGAGGTCTCATCATTCTCTGGCTCCTTGATCTCCCCCTTTCCAGATTTCTCTTTCTATGTATTCTTTCTGAGTGCCAGCCCCACCTATTTCTCTCTCCTGTCTCACTCCTGGCTGTTCAGTTCTTTATTAGGCCATCAGGTGTTTTAGACAGGCACAGTAACAGTTTCACAGAGTTAAGCAAATGCAACATAAACAAAAATAACACACCTTAAAATAATATTCTACAATAATGTTACTACAAGCATTTTCTCTTGGAGAACGCAGCACATAAAAGAAAGTCCAGGCTCACCCAACCTCGGCTTCTGAGTGCATGGGTCCATGCAGTTAGATCACTTGTTTCAGAACCATTAGGGTGAGAAGCAAAAACTCCTTGATCATGAAGAAATTACTATAATGTGTATGTTTGTCATTTGAACGTAAGAGTTGAGATGAGGTATTGATCTCTTAAGAGTGTGCTAGTGTGCTCTACCCAAAATCTGCTCTTAGGTTTCTAGTTTCGATGGACAAAACTTAGTGGGTCTACATGTCAGACTATGTTCCAACTAGGGGATAGGTTGGGAACTAAGAATGAAGTTGGAACTAAGCTGAATTTTATAGTTGAAAGTATTTTGAATGACATATATTTTCCACAAAATATTTTTTCTATGTATGTCAGGAGTTTCTAAGAAATATACCAGGAAGTGTGCTGACATCTAGACTATATGATGAATGGCTTGGTGTCCTCGACCAAGTGTATGAAGAGAAGAAAGTAGCTGCAGTGCAGAGGTAATGATTCACTAATTTCTTGAGCAACACCAACAAAAGGAGGAATAATGTTTGCTTAGAAACATTAGATCCTATACCACAGAATTATTTACTAAACATATTGACTGACAACAAAAGGTTTCAATTGTTCACAAACACAGAAGACATTGTGAAAGGAGAAGTATGACTTGGGGAGTCACAGTGGCCCATGCTTTTAATCTCAGCATTATGTAACGTGTGTGTGTGTGTGTGTGTGTGTGTGTGTGTGTGTGTGTGTGTGTGTGTACATATCAATTAAATTTGTTCTTTTTTTCTGACTTTGGGGAGATATTGCAAGCATAATTTATAGGACACATTCCTCCTTCCATTTTATTCTCAGGGGACCATGAATAAGATAGAATTACTCTGTTCCCTTTCTTCATATTTACAATTTCATGAGTAAAATTTATTGTTTTTAAATAACTTGTTTCTGTGTTCAGTCTTTTAGAGCAACTACCCCAACCAAATATCATTCTTTTGAAACCACTTTTCGGAATATTATATAAAATTGAGAGAAACTCTGAATTCAACCACATGACATCTTCTAATTTAGCCATTTGCATAGCCCTGTGTATTCTATGCCTGCCTAGCTCTGGCAACTCAAGATTGGCAGATATCACCAAAAAGGTAATGAGACATAAATTTTATGTCTAGAGTAAACAAGTCTTCACAATGAGACAGGAACACAGGATTATTCTGAGAGTCTGGAGTTTGATTTTTTGTTTGTTTGTTTTTGTTTTTGTTTTTTAAATGAGTGCACCTTTGATTTTCATTCATCTGGAGAGGAAGAATCATTTGTGGATTTTGAATAAGTAGAATTTAAATGGGTATTTGAGCTCAGTGACTCAGTCCTTTGTCAATTATGATTTAGAATGTTGTTAGACTAACCCAACTGAGAGCTAATATTGTGAAATGATAAGAAAACATGGATGCTGGGGTAGAAAATCAAGACTGAATTCTTGATGTCGTCATTGAGGAATGTGTGAATTTCTACTTGTTTTCAAGGTGGTTTCCCAACTAAACAAAGGCAATATGGATTGTTTTATCAGATATGTTGTTCTGAGACATGGTTAGTGTGATCAAATATATCCTTGGCCTCTTGTTGCTGATTATGGTTGGATTAGAGACACTTTCCTATGGCATGCACATTTCAAATATGATAACAAAATACCAGAATTTATTTAGTATAAAGACCAAATGGTTATTTGGACTCTCAGTATTTGAGTTTCTGATTAACTATTGACTGAGCAATTGCGCTTGGACCTCTAAGAAGTACATCACAGGAAGGCCTGACTCAGGACATCTTTTCTCATATTGTGTAGAATCAATGAACAGAAGAGAAAGAGTTCCAAACAACCTGTCATTGCAGATCCACAATTACCCAATTCACTCCAAATAGGCCCTACATCAAATATTTCCCCAATATAATTGTAGGGAAAGGGGGGCTGGCTAAAGAAACCCACCCTGACCCTGGAGCCCAGAACTAGGGAAAGATGGCTCAGATCAGGGCAGAAAGAAATACAGTTAGGCTCAGATCAGAGTCATCTCTGCTCCTGGACAACTGACCTGTGAAACTAACCAATCACAGAGTAGGAAAGTAGCATCCTGGCCCTGGAGCCCAAGACCAGGGAAAGAAACACAGCCTGGGTTTGGGACCTGAGCCAGAGAGATGAACACCTTATCCCCAAATTCAGAACTAAGGAAACATGCCCTAACTCTGAAACCAGTACCAAAGAAACACTCTTGGTCCCTAGAATCTGAGTCAGTGAAAGAAATGTGCCCTGACCTTGGAATTAGTGTCAAAAAGCTAAGAAAGCCCAGTAAAGGAAACACAGGCTCAGATCAGAGCCATCTCTGTCCCTAGCCAACTGACCTGTGGAACCAACCAATCACAGAGCAGGAAAGTAGCACCCTGGCCCTGGGCTCCTGAGCAGCTCAAGGTGTCTGGGACATCTCCTGGGCAGAGCTGTTCTATACAGCTGGAGGTGTCCAGGATACTGAACCCTCCAGGGCTGAGCTGTCTCTTTGCAGCTCCAGCCATCAGCTGTCCTAGCAGCCCCAAGCAAACCCCCAGAATTGCAACAAAGTTACTTATATTTTGGTGCTGAAACCCGGGACCAAGGCTATAGAGTTACAAAGTTATGTATAATAATGAACCTGTTTGTCAAGCTGTTTGCATTACCTCTGCACTGAGCAACCAGAGACACACGAATGCTGTTGCTCAGTTGGCTTTGCCTGTCTCTTCATTTTTAGTCACCCAGTAGGAACTTTCAATAGGATGGAGCCTACACTGAGGGGTAGTCTTCACTCCTTAACTGTACCTTTCTGTAAGCATCCTTGTCTGTTCCAAATGGAACAAAAGTTATTCAAGTTAACAGTATACAGTAGCCGTCACAGTGGGAGCACTAGAAACCATCCTCTTCTATAGTATTGCACTGTGATGATCACATTTTATCATCTGATCTCAAAAATCTTCTTTCATATTTCTAACAGAACCCCCCCATATTTTGTAGAAGCTGACTTTTTCTCTGAATTTTGAACTACATACTTTTAGCCTCAAGGCTCATATATCAAATGTGATTTACAACCATGCAAAATGACAGAGACCCTTTGTGTTTGCCTTGTTTTATTACAGGTTTCTCTTGTCAAATTCCTTATTGAGAACTATCCAAAAATATTTGGAGAAGAGCTCATTTATGAGAGCTCATTATAGAGCTCATTGCTTTGCTCTGATGGGGAGAAGGCTTACAATTCCCTGAACACTCCAACCAACAGTGTTGGGACAGAGGAGAAGGAACAAGAAGACAACCCCTGTCCCAGTGGGAGGACAAGCCCCACAGTTAATGATGCAGAGCCCAGAAGTCCAACTGCTCCTCTCCACAGTGAGGGAATTATAGGTAAGTATAGATGATCTATAACCTTAACCTATGAGTTAGACACATTTAGCCCTGAAAACATCATTTACAACAAAGAGCTGTGTAGCTGGAAACTTCTCCGGTCCTGCCTGGCCCAAAAGTCAGGATGAATCTCTCCCACTCGTGTCCCACAGCCACTTGGTCCCAAGTAAAACACACAGCGGCTTATATTATTTACAAACTGTATGGCCTAATGGCTCAGGCTTCTCACTAGCTAGCTCTTACAACTCAACTCAGCCCATTTCTAATGATCTCTGCATTGGCGTGTGGCTTCGTGGCTTACCGTTACTTTCACGTCTTGCTTCTCCCGGTGGTGGCTCGCAGCATCTGCCCCACTCTCCTTTCCCCTCCTCTCTCTTCAGTTGCAATGTCCCGCCTAACCTTATTCTGACTCACCATTGGCCAAACAGCTTTGTTTATCAACCAATCAGAGCAACACATATTCACAGCATATAGAAAGACATCCCACAGCACAGTGATTGGGAGTCTACTAAAACCATTTGGAAGTGAAACTTCACCTGTACATTATAGGTGTTTTCCTGTTTTCACTGCCTGGAAATTGTCATTTCTTCTTCACAGTGGTACTGAATTTATGTAAGAAGTAAATTCTGGAAGTGCCAAGTATACAATTAATTGAGAATATGTGGAGAAATGTCACTTACCTTGATATCTTGACTCCTGACTGATTATTACAATACTCTGAATAGTCACTCAATTTTGCCAGTCAGGGTTTCTCCCTTTAACAGCCATGACTGTCTTGGAACTAGCTTTGTAGAGCAGGGTGGTCACAAACTCACAGAGATCCTCTTGGCTCTACCTCCTGAGAACTGGGATTAAAGATGTGCACCACCATGCATATTCTTTTGGAAGTCTTCATATAGCATATATACCCATAGGGGAGAATTATGCTGTGATCTCAGATTTGCTCTCATAGTTCAAGGGAGAAAAGCTAAAGACTGTCAGAGAAATACCGTCAGGCAAGCTATGCGATGACGTGCAGATACTGCTCTTAAATTATAGTTTCCCTGCTGCAAGCCACAGGAATGTAGTAGAAATTCAGCCAAATATGGAAAAGCTAATACCTGGAAGAAGCTAAGGGCCTTTGAGAGCATTAAGCCAAATCTCAAGGAGTATTTGGTGTTATTCAGCTTTTAATATATCATCTGTCTTCTGCTATTAATTTCATATGCACTTATAACTTCCCAAGAACTTTTAACAGTGTATTTTTCCTAAAATTCTTCTCAAACATCCTAGGCTATAATGGCAAATGGTCTCCTGAATTAAGGTAAACACCCTTCTGGAGACACTGCCTTGGAGACAGGCTAGGTGCATAGCTTTATCTCTTGTGCAAATGAAGCTCAGAACCTCCTTCCTCTCACAGGCCAAGTGACTCAGGACAAAGAGGTTTTTTTGTTGTTGTTTTTGGTTTTTTGTTTTGTTTTGTTTTTCATACCAGGTGGAGGGAAGCAATTGAGGCAAGATTCCTAGCAGAGTGACATGGCCCAAGGAGAAAGCAACAAGGCAGAGTTTTTGCAGATTGTAGGTGGGTTGAGTCAGGTCCTGAGAGCAGGAGAGGAAGTGAGGAAGATGGACAGAGGAACTGACAGAGATGAAGATGAGGTTGAGATGGAAAGAGCTTAGTAGGAACTAGGACAATGATAGGACAGGAAGAGAAGGGACAGTGAGGAGCTAAGTATATGAACAGAAAAGAAACTATGTAGAGAGAGAACTGACTCACAAAAATAAAGCATATGAACTAAAGAGTTTCATGTGCATAGATTTTTATTTAATATTGTCAAAGATTAGATTATCAGCTGGTTGTAGATTCTTCCTGGACCCTGGGAGAGGGCTATCGAGGGGCTGTACCCCCCATAGTTTCAAATACTGCCCATGGCTGTTCAGTCAAGAATTCACACAGGAGGACTCAGATTGTATACTACATCACTGCTAGATTCTAATATCTATATGCATAGCTTTCAAGACAAACACCAGAAATTACTGATTATGGGCCATATACCGCTAGATATCATGCCCCTCAGGATGCAGTCTCATTATCATAAATGTTATATTATTGGTTCTTGTCTGTATATTATGGTGATGCAGAAGGTATGTAAGCTATAAAATGAAAAGGCATGGAAGGGTTAAGTGAATCCAATTATAACATACAGTGATTTCTCTTCTTTTTTAGATTCTGAGGAACATGTCAAAATGTCTTTAATAAATTTGATGATTACATGGGGCTCTGATACCAGCCAAGACAACATGTGTTTAATTCCACCAGTGCCAAATGAGGAACCCCCCACTGGAAATTCTGATAACCCACCAGCACCAAACAAGGAACTCCTTGTTGGAAATTCTGACACCCAATGGCTACCAAGTGAGGAGCAACTCATTGTAAATTCTGACACCCCATCACCACCCATCAAGAGACACCTCTTCAGGATGTCTCTCCTGAGTGTGTGTGAGGATGGCAATCTGCCTACTCCAATACTGGTGAGTTTCACTCTCGGTGTCTACAGCTCTCCTGTTCAACATAATTTCCAGAAACCTCTGTTTTCAGTGAATTGTAAGACTAATGAATATCTAGATAACCTGTCCATGAGAGTGAGATCCTTTTAAAATACTGCCTCAAAGAAATTAATCCTGCTGAAGTTAGAGCCATGTAATTCAAGAAGACTGAAAAAAAAAACCATAACAAAACCTACAGTGTTTCCATGTCTTCAACTCTTTTCCACAAAGACCCAAACCCACCAGCTTATTGGAGGAAATAGGTCTATGGGTGAGACCCTCTGAGTCCCCAAACCTCAACTCTTCCAGCTTCTTTCATGACTCCATATTACTCTGGGGTCTTCCTTAGTATCATTGCCACTGAGATTATTCTATTTTATAATTCAAAATATCTAGAGTGCTTTCTTTTGTATTATAAAGGAATTATATATAAGCATTGTTCTGTGCTGTGTATTAACCCTTTCATTCTAGTAGAATGTATTTACAAGCCACCCAATATGACATGAGCTATTTTAAATGTTACTAAATTGCCATTGAAAATACACATTAAGTGTGTGGCATCCATTTTAGCACTATACTCACAATTCTCTTGGTATTTACGGATTCATAAGTAACATTACTTGTAGGACAAACAAACATAACTGCCCCATTTTTCTCTGTATAGTCTTTTATCACAGATGCCAAAACCTAATTTCATCCTCTTGAGACACCTTATGAGTGTATTATACAAGATTTAAAGTCATTCTTCTGTTAATCACATGGACGCTTATGGATGGTCAGTTCGCATAGCCCCTTATCTTAGATGGAGGCCTACTTCTTGCAACTTGGGATTTGGAGATGGTCTCTCAAAAAAAGGTAAGGGCACTTGTTCTCTGCCTTTGGAAACAAAGTCTCCATTGTGATCCAGGAATTAGGTATACCTTGGACAGATCATTACTATTAATGGAACCCTTGAATTGCATTCTTTTCTTTCTTTCTTTCTTTCTTTTTTTTTTTTTTTTGCTTTTTTGAGACAGGTATTCTCTGTGCAGTTTTTGTGTCTGTCCTGGAACTCGCTCTGTAGACCAGGCTGGCCTCGAACTCACAGATCCACCTGGGTCTGCCTCCCCAGTGCTGGGATTAAAGGCATGCACCACCACGCCCAGCTTGAGTTGCATTCTTGTGAGGTGGAAGAGGAATTGGTCTATTTCAGAGAGCTTTGGGAAGGGAAATAGTAAATGTGGATTGAAAGGAAATGAATCATTCCTTTCTTAATTGGGATTGAGAATCTGATGTGCCTGAACCATAGAGATGAGAAAAGAGATGTGTGCTGGGGTTCAACAAACTAATATTCAGGACTGTGGATAAATATGGAACAATACATAGACTTAGACAAATATTCAAAAGTAGTTTTCTTATCCTAGGGAATGACATTTATTCCCAGCTACTCTGGTCTTTAGTCACACTTATGTGTGGATTGAACATATGGGCACCAAGGCTCTATACACAGTGTATTCTGTTGGCTGTTTATGGCTCAGTCAGCAAAATCTTGTCTATCAGTTCCTATGCCAGGCAGCTTTTCATTTGGATAACTACATATTGTAAGGATTCACTTATAAAAATTAACATTGATATTATTAAAGTATTTAAAATTATTTTTGTGTTATTAATGTTCTGATTGAATGTAAGTTTGTATATTCCAACCTTGCCTAGTGCCCCTGGATGTCAGAAGAAAGCTTTGGATTCTTTGGAATTAAGGTCACATACAGCTGTGAGCTACCATGAGGTCCTGAGAATCCAAACTGGATCCTCTAGACTCTCAACCAGTGCTCTTATCTACCGAGCCATAATTCTAGCACAAAATGTTTAATTTGTATGAAGCATGAATGAAATGTTTATTTTTTTTACTTTACAGTAAGTTGCCTGCATGTAAGTTTGGGCCCTTGGAAGCAACACAACATTGGATCCCATGGAACTGGAGTTCCAGACGGTTGTGATCCAAAATACGGGTGCTGGGAGCAAGAGCAGGGTCCTCTGAGACAGCTGCCAGGAGTCACACCTTCTGAGCCAGCGCTCCACACAACAGTTTGTATTAACTTGTGCTGTTGGTGTTTCAGATTTCTTATTGATATGCTTTCTTTATTTAGATAGCCTGAGAGGAACCCTTCATGTGTGGGGGAAAATTCCTGAGAGAATATACTCATCTGTTAGGAAAAAAGCAGAATGAGAGACAGACAGAGAGGAAGATGGGGTCTTATATTCCCTCTAATGTCACAGCAGCATGATCCATTTGCCTCACAGTTTGGCTTATCTATTAAAACTTAATTCCCAGTAGAAGAGCCTGAAAGATTAAGTCATTAATATATAAGCCTCCTGAGGAAATCTGTAACAAACAAATCAGACATGATGGCTTTAAGCAAAGGAAGGGTACAAAGTTCAGTAGGAATAGATATATGGGAAGAGTTCTGGGAATGGAATATGATCAAAACATTTTGTACTAAATTCAGAAAACTGAGAAAATAGAAATAAATAGTAAACCCTTAATGTACAAATGCAGACTTATACGACAGTTTCTTTTGTTTTGTGTTAAAATGACAGGCAAAACCTTTATACGGGAGCAAGGGTATATTTCACCCAGTAGATTCCAGGGATAAGGCCCATAGGAAGGAAGTCATGGTCACGTGACTCACAATGGGACAGTATAGCATGAGGAACAGCTTACTCACCTAGGACTCTAGCTGGCTTGGGCTATGCACACACCCCCCTTTAAACTATTCAACTACCAAGCTACTGGCAATATAAAATCCAAGCCTATGTTAAGCTGGATGTTCAATCCAAATGGAGCAACAAAATCTGTTTTTTCACTTCTAACAACAATTAATGCTTCTCCCATTATGGACAATTCTATTCAGATATGTTCCTTTATATGTTCAGGTATGAAAGCAAAGAGCAAAACCATTCTGAACTGTTTGCATATGAAATACAGCAATCATCTGAGTGTGATCTTTCTGATAATCATTTCTTTCCTATCTTGTGCAAGACTGGTCAAACATAAAATTAGGTGCATCCTGGGAAGGAACATAAGTGATTAATAAAGATGACTTAACTTCACCATCTCAATCAAAAGACAATTAATTTTCAGTATTGTTCAGCTTAGCAAGTGCCTTACTTTGTGACTATTGCTGTGATGAAACACTAACAAAAATAAGTTTATGGAGGAAAGGATTCCCTTCATGATCCACTTCCAGTGCGAAGTGGCAGGGCTCCCACTGAAGCAGAGCAGGAACTGGAGGCTAGAGCTGAAGCAGAGGGTGTGCAGGAGTTCTGCTTACTGCCTTGCCCTATTTCCCTTTCTCAGAAAGCTTTCTTACATAACCCAGGATCACTAGCTCAGGGATGGCACCATCCTGGCGATCTGGGCCTTACTAATTCATTTGTTAATCAAGACAATGTCCCATAGACTTCCCAACGCTATAGGTCATTCTATGGAGGTATCTTCTCAATTCAGATTCCCTCTTCTCAGATATCTCTACATGATTTGCTACCCCTGAAACCAACTTCTTCTCTTAGTTACTTTCTATTGCTTTGGTATAAAACCATGGCCAAGGCAACTTCTAGAAGCATGTGTTTATTTGGGGCTTCAAGATTAGAATCCTCACAATCACAGCAGAGGAGCATGGCCACAGGCAAACAGAGCAACGCAAACAGGAAGCTGAGAGCTGGAGGATCTTACCTTGGACAGCAAACATGAAGTAGAGAGAGTGACCGGAAATGGCTCAGGGCCTTTGAAACCCTAAATTCCAACCAATGATGTACTTCCTCCAGGAACCCAAATCACCTAAACCACCCAAATGGTGTCAAAAAGAGGACATCAAGTTTTGAGATACCTGAACTTAGAGGGGCATCACATTCAAACCACTGCAACCAAACTCCTCCTCCTTTTCATCTCAAAACAAACAAACAAATAAACAAACAAAACCAAGGGTTAATCATGGTACCTGTAAAGTCACTAATTCAATTCATTCCCAGTTCCTCTTGGCAGCATATCAGTTCTGAAATGTCTGTTTGCTTTCTAGTAATTTCTTTTTCTTTGCAATATGTATGAAAATTTTTTTTTTGAGACAGGGTTTCTCTGTGTAGCTTTGTGAATATATATGAAATTTTAACTAAATATTTTAGTAAGATGCAAAGACCCTAGAATCTCCATTCCAGACAGAGACCTTGGAGAACAGCAGTGTGTTTGCAAAAAGAAATGAAAAGCCGGTGCTTAGGTGATTTCAGTATTATTTATTCTTTTAGTCAATCTGGGACATGCATCAATGGATTTGGGGAGACTTACCTCCTCATTTAATGCTGTCTGGAAATACAGACGTACCTGGAGGTTTGTTGTGTATGTGTGTGTGTGTGTGTGTGTGTGTGTGTGTGTGTGTGTGTGTGCAAGGTAAATCACAATTTAGTTAGGTTAACAGTAAGAAATTTCCAGGGGGAGAGATACATGTCTCAGGTGTTAGTAGGACTCTTGCCGGGGACCTGAGTTGGGTCTCTATCTCCCATGTCTGGTGCTCTACAACTGCCTGAAATCTCGGCCTCAAGCATCTGACCACCTTTTCTAGTTTCCATGGCCATCAAGTACTCACAAGGGCATATAACTACACACACGCACACACAGAGAGAGGGGGAGAGCACACACGCATGCACCATTAAGAAGAAACATAAAACATTAGTCATTGTAATGATATTGAAACTTTTGAAATATCGAAGCTTTTTCTATTTATTATAATGTATTATACTGATTGTATAATTAAATACACGTTCATAATATTCTTAGTCATTCATGGGTTCATATCTGTTTGGAGTAACTGCTATTCTCTTCATAATTCTGGATTTCAAGTTTTTCTTCCTTTAAAGACTCTGATGTCAAATTTGATTGTAAACTAGATCCTTCCATATGCCCCTAACCTTAACATTCATGGCCACTTTTTCCACCAAGTGTTATTGTATGCATGTATGTATATGTATATACATATATATTTTAAAATATTAACTGTTAAGTCAGGATAAAGTTACTTTTATGTATGTTTTCAGGGATGATTGTTTGATACAGAACAACCAAGTGATGTGTTTTCCCTGGGGATGACCACCTATTACCCCTCCCAGCTTTCCTCAGTTGCCTATGTTTCTTTGTGTAGAGTTCAGCCCTCAGGGACTTTTCCCCATTCAGTTTTTTGTGTACATAGGTGTTATCCTTGTTCAGCTAACATGTGGGCAGTCATGTCGATGAGGCTTTATGGGTAAGACTCAGGGAACATTGCAGAAGAGAGGGAGAAGAGTGTAAAAACCAAAGGATCAGGAAGCTTTCTGTGAGACTGTTTTTCTAGTAATATCAGAAGCTTTACAAATGTTATCAGGCTGAAAAAGGGTAGAATCAAAATTGTATTTTATAGGCTGTTCATTTTTACTATATTAGTCCTACCAATTCTTGAGCATGGGAGAATATTTTCATCTTCTGACATCTTCTTCAACTTCTTTCCTCAATGTCTTAAAGTTTTGGTCATACAAGTCCTTCACTTCTCAGAGTCACCCCAAGACAGTTTGGATTTTTGAGCTGATTGTGAAGAATGGTGGTGTTTCCCTGACTTTCTTTTCAGAAAGTTTGTCGTTTGTGTACAAGTAGATTTCTGATTAGTGTGTGTTTATTTTATATCCTGCTACTTGCTGAAAGAGTTTACCAGCTGCAAGTTTCCTGGTGGAATTTTAGGCTCACAAATGTATACTATCATATAATCTGCAAATAAAGATACTTTGACTTTTTCATTTCCAACTCGTATTCCACAAGTCAAACAGATTCCAGGTTTTACACTCGGCACAGACACCACCAAGGCAGCTTACCTTTCTTGTGACAGCTTGGCCTTGGCATTTCAATGGGGGATTGTGTTGAGTGTTAACAGACATTGGAAGACACAGCCCACTGTGGTGGCACCATTCTCTAGGCCTGAACACTGTGACTGAAGAAAGCTAGCAGGCAGACAGGCAGTGTGGGTGCACTTGTTCCTCTCTGCTCCTGACTGTGGACGTGATGTGACCAGTTGACTCATGCTCCTGCCTCAGTGACTTTCCTGCAGTGATGAACCCCTTCTCCCTTAAGTTGTTTCTCTGGTCAGGGCATTTTATTAATAACAGATGTGAAAATGGGACAGGAAATAATGAGCACAGCTTTGGGTTCCTCCAGCAAGTGGAAATGACCACATGTCCTACATGACTCCAAGTTTCCTATCGACCAGACATTGGAAAAGCACACATATTTACCTTTGAAGTCTGGTCTCCACTGCCATCATCAACTATCACCTCAGAAGTGAAGGTAGGGTCTTGTTTCTGCAAGAAGCAAATAACAAATCAAAATTTGGCAAAATTATGATAGAGATTAATAAAGATATAACAGTATTCTTAAATCATCTTTAACATGTATATGTATGTATACATGTGTATGTGTTTGGGGGATGATCATGGTGCACATATGAGGTCAGAGGACAACTTGTGGAGGTCATCTCTCTCCTACCATGTGAATCACAGGGATCAAACTCAGATGTTCAAGCTTGACAGCAGCGGTTTTTACCCAGTAAGCCACCTTGCCAGCCTGTAAAACTGTAATTTAAAACATTTTTCTTTGTGTCCCCATAAGATACAGCGCCCCCCTCCAGCAGGAAGTAGTAAGAGAAGCTACGCCAAAATTCCCAAATATACCAAGCTGGCTTTGGAGATGTGTAAAAGTTAAAACCTAAAAAAAAAAAGAAAGAAAAGGGGAAGTGCTGTTGGATGGTCTGTATGTCAAATGTGTTGCTCTGATTGGTCAATAAATAAAATACTGATTGGCCAGTGGCCAGGCAGGAAGTATAAGCGGGAGTAACAGAGGAGAACTGAGAGAACAGGAAGGTGGAAGGAGACACTGCCAGCTGCCACCATGACAAACAGCATGTGAAGATGCCGGTAAGCCACGAACCACGTGGCAAGGTATAGATTTATAGAAATGGGTTAATTTAAGATATAAGAACAGTTAGCAAGAAGCCTGCCACGGCCATACAGTTTGTAACCAATATAAGTCTGTGTTTACTTGGTCGGGTCTGAGTGGCTGTGGGACTGGCAGGTGACAGAGATTTGTCCTGACTGTGGGCCAGGCAGGAAAACTCTAGCTACAAACTAAAACATTTTTCTCTCAAATTTATTTTTAATAGTGTGTGTGTGTGTGTGTGTGTGTGTGTGTGTGTGTGTGTGTGTGTGTATGTGTGTGCATGGAGGTTAGAGGACAACTTGCAGGAGTCAGTTCTCTCCTTCTACCGTGGGGTCTCAGGATGAACACAGGTCATCAGTCTTGAACAGCAAGCACCTTCACCTGCTGAGACATCTTCCCAGCCCTAACAAGGTTATAATTTAAGCAACAGGTGTTCTAGTATTGCTAGGGACAAATACAGACAGTAGTAACAAACCACATGAAATACAAAAGGCTCAGAAGGAACAGAACAGATGATGGGTAGACATCTGCCCTGTACCACACGAGTGGCGGCAGCATGAATCTGTGATGCTAAGCCAGACTGGAGAGGAGAGCCATGTATGAGAAAGAAGTCCCTGAGGTCTAGGGCAGAGAGAGATTCAATGTGTGCACCACTCCTCAGCCTTACAGGAGGAGCCCAGTTCACATTTTACCTCACACAAGTTCAAGTCTGTAGTAATCCTTTTCAGTCAAGAAATCTGTCTTAAAACCCAAAGCAAAGCAAAGCAAAGCAATGTAAGGAATGTCCTAGACAGAGATAGAAAGAGATGAGGTACAAAGCTCACTCCATCTTTAACTGTCCTAAGACAACTCCAAAGAGAGATATTAATTGCTGTGCTTCTGAACATAAAAAGTGCAAGCATTTAAAAAAATAAACATCTTTTAGGGTTGGATATACAGCCCCTGTAGCATGCCTGCCTAGGATGTTTGAGTACCTGCTTGCATTTAGATATAAATAAGCCCAATATTGGGATTGTTTCTGAGGTAAGGTTGTACTAAAATATTTTATTTTTGTGTGATTAGTTTATAATTAAAAATTTTAAGGCTATAACTTTGTATCACTCAATCGATGTGATTTCATTTGAGAAACAAAGTTCTACAGACTATGTTATAAAGACTCCAGTGGATCTCGATCCTGCCCCAGACCTCCCATCTGGACAAGAGGTGAGTGCCTGGGCTCAGCCTAGATCCCATCCCTGGGCACCAGCCATTCCAGGGAAGACCTGCCCAACTTGGCCCCAGGTTCAGGCCATCGGGCAGGATCCCCTCTACCCCCACTAGGAAGGCTCCCCTTCTCCAAGAACCCCTGCAGACCCTGAAATTGCCATGCTCTGCCCCCAGCTCCCATCCTGCTCCAGACCTCCCATCTGGACAAGAGCTCCCATCCTGCACCAGAGCTCCCATCTGGACAAGAGAGAGAGGCTTCCTGAATCTGTCAGCTCTGTCTGGACCAAGTGGGCTGATAAGACCAAGAACAAATCCATAAGGAGATGGGCAGATGTCAAGGCAGAAGTACATACAACAAAATGAAGAGCAATACAGCATCACCAGAACCTAGCCCTCCTCCAACAACTAGACCTGAACATCAAAAAATGGAAGAAGCAGAAGAAACCAGCCTTATGAATAACATCATGAAGAGGTTAGAGGCTTACATAGAAGGAATCACAAATGAAATTCAGGAAAAGACAAACAAAATGGGAAGAACGCTATAAAAAAACTAGAGGAAAGGACAAATAAAGCAGAAGAAAACAATAAAGACCTGAAAGAAAATCATGAAAAAGCAATGAAACAGATGAAGGAAACAGTCCAAGACCTGAAAAGGGAAATAGAAAAAAATGAAGACACAAACAGAGGGAATGCTGGAAATAGAAAATCTGAGTAAATGAATGAGAACTTCAGATGCAAGTATAACCAACAAAATGCAAGAGATGGAAGAGAGGATCTCTGGCATTGAGGATATGGTAGAAGAAATAGATTCATCAGTCAAAGAAAACACTAAAGCCAACAAAGTCATGACCCAAAATGTCCAAGAAATCTGGGACACCATGAAAAGACCAAACCTATGAATAATAGGGATAGGGGAAGGAGAAGAATACCAACTCAAAGGCACAGAAAATATATTCAACAAGATTATAGAAGAAAACTTTCCCAACTTAAAGAAGGAAATGCCTATGAAGATACAAGAAGCATATAGAACACCAAACAGACTAGACCCCCCAAAAAAGTCCCCTCGCCACATAATAAACAACTAAACGTACAGAATAAGAAAGACTATTAAGAGCAGAAAAGGAAAAAGGCCAAGTGACTTATAAAGGCAAACCCATCAGAATAACACCTAATTTCTCAATGGAGACTTTGAAAGCCAGAAGGACCTGGACAGATGTAATGCAGACACTAAGAGACCATGGATGCCAGCCTAGACTAATATACCTAGCAAAACTTTCAATCACCATAGACGGAGTAAACAAGACATTCCAAGACAAAGCCAGATATAAACAATACTTATCCACAAACCCAGCCCTACAGAAAGCACTAGAAGGAAAATTCCAACCTAAGGAAGTCAGATACACCCTCAAAAACACAGGCAATAGATAATGCCACAGCAGTAAACCCCAAAGAAGAGAAGTACACACACACTACCACCAAAAAATAACAGGAATGAGCAATCACTGATCATTAATATCCCTTAATATCAATGGACTTAATTCACCTATAAAAAGACACAGGCTTACAGAATGGATAGGAAAGCAGGACCCATCTTTCTGCTGCATACAAGAAACACACCTCAAATTCAAAGATAGACACTACCTAAGAATAAAAGGCTGGGAAAAGACTTTCCGATCAAATGGTCTTAAGAAACAAGTAGGTGTAGCCATCCTAATATCCAGCAAAATAGATGTCAAACTAAAATCATTCAAAAGAGATCAAGAAGGGCATTACGTGCTCATCACAGGAGAGATCCACCAAGATGAAGTTTCAATTCTGAACATTTATGCCCCAAACACAAGGGCACCCACATATGTAAAAGAAACATTACTAAAGCTTAAACCACATATAAAACCCCACACATTAACAGTGGGAGACTTCAACACCCTACTTTCACCACTGGACAAATCTCCCAAATCGAAACTTAGCAGAGAAATAAAGGACTTAACTGATGTCATGACTCAAATGGACTTAATCGATATCTACAGAACATTCCATCCTAACAAGAATATACCTTCTCAGCACCCCATGGAACCTTCTCTAAAATCGACCACATACTTGGCCACAAAACAAATCTCAACAGACACAAAAAAATTGGAATAACCTCCTGCATTCTATCAGACCACCATGGTTTAAAGTTAGAGTTCAACAACAACAAAAATTACAGAAAACCTACAATCTCATGGAAACTGAATAATGCTCAAGTGAATCACCAATGGGTTAAGGAAGAAATAAAGAAATTAAAGACTTCCTAGAGATCAACAAAAATGAAGATACCACATACCTAAACTTATGGGACACTGTGAAAGCAGAGCTAAGAGGGAAATTCATAGCACTAAATGCCCACATAAAGAAGTTGGAGAAATCTCACACTAGTGACTTAACAGCACACCTGAAAGCTCTAGAACAAGAAGAAGCAAGGT